AGTGTATTTGTGACATGCGTGTGGTCCAGGAATTTCTATTTTGAGTCCCCATATGATTTTTGATGTGGGCAATTTGTTTTATTTACTAGTTTTTTCCTGAGTGTCTGGTGAGGGATAACATTTCATTTGATCCTGCACTAGTATCTGTTGTACAAGGCTGCAGCCAGTATCAAAGATAATGCTTGCAAAGCACGAAGTGTGGCCTAGAGAGCAATTAGTGATCACCTTGATTATGATGCTTACTAGGGAAGGTGATACTTGGGTTTGGTTTGAATGGTTGAGGACAAGTTGGTTAAAGAATGGTGGGGAAATATTTAACATCTGCATGAGCGAGCATGACACACTGGAGGCAGGCCATCCCTCGTGGTGCGTGTCTAAGGGTTGCCGCTGCGAAGATGGGCAAGGATCTGTCTCTGTATGTCAAGGGTTGTAAATGGGAAATGACATGTTTGGCAATTGGATTGGAAGGGAGAGGAATTGGAACTGTGGAGACCAGTGTGTGGCTGTTCTAATAATGCAGGCCCACCTACCTGACAGTGACATCGCCCATTGCCCTGGCAGCTGCCAGATCCACACTCTAGATCTTTCCTTCTTCAGACCTGTCTGGGGTGTCATCTTTGTAATACATTGGTCAGTTATGATTGCGCTGACAGTATCCAGTGAGAGGGAGACCCCATTGCTGGAAATCCATAGAAAGAAAGCTGCCATGCATTGTGAAGTCAGAACCATCAAAACCATCCCTGTGGGGCCTCCCCTGGTGGCGCAGGCGGTCGAGCGCTGCGCTGTGAAGCTGTCCGCAGCCTCTGCAGCACTGGTTCTATCCCAGTCGGCCGGCAAGGGTCCCACATGGCACGGCAGGCCTCTCCTGTCTCGCCCGCTGCTCCCCTTAGCAGTGTGTTTCATCAGTTTGCCTGTTCTGTTTCCCGCTCTGTCTCTGGTGAATCCTCTCACCCTCCTGTGCATCTGGCCTGTACCCTGGTTCTTGTATAAATAAATAAATAAATCTTTAAAACAAACAAACAAAAACATCCCTGTGCACCATGGAGCCCAAGGAGGATTTGAAGCAAGCAGGTTATTCTTTGTTCCTCTCTTTCTAAAGTGGATGGCCCCAGGGTGAATTAAATATCCTTGTCTTGGGGTACAACCATCTAGTCTTAAGGTAAGGGTAGTCTCCTACTTCACTCATAAAATAGGCTGCCAATTATTCAGGAAACTAAACAAAGCTAGTCAGCTCCTAAAAGCTACTAAAGCTACAGCCCTTCTCCCAGAAGTTTGATGATATTTGCTTCAAGCCTTACACCTGAGACCCATTTTGCTACATGGCTTCTAGGCTCTGATATTTATCGCCTTCGTTTACCACTATCCCCACATCTAGAACAATGCCTGGCACATCTTAGACACTGAAATATTGGTTGGCTGAAGGAGTGCTTCTGAGGAAGTGACACACAGGCTGCTGAGGCTTATCTTTCAGCTCCCTGCCGCGGACCAGCACAGCGATGGACGATGAGGCCGTCTCAGGGTTGAGAGATTGCGCAGGGTGGTCAGGGATTCGATGAATAAATGACACACAGACACACTTCAAGAGAGTGAAAATCTGAGTGCGTCTTTATTAAGCTAGTGGTCAGTATATATATGTTTTTCTAAAAGCATAGGAACAGTGAACATCAAAGAGATCAGTTTGCTCATAGACTTAGCTTAATTGACAGGGCAGTGATTTATGTCCGAAGTTACATCTGGACCTAGCCTCATTCCTAATTGGACAGGCTATAAATTCTTTCTATTGTTTTATATAATTATTTTCTAGTTGCACTAACTATCATTTTTACTCATAATTAATTGTCATGGGTGAATTTATTTTATAATGCAGTTAATATCAAAGGTACTAAAGTTAAGCACATAATAGAAAGATTATTAAACTAACAATTCTATTATAACACAGTGTGTAGTAATGTTTCATTTGCATTAACCTAATTATTAAATTAGGTATGTTTTTTAATTAGCAATCAATGACCAGAAAAAGGAAAGATTTTAGAAAGACAGTTGTAGCAGAATAAAGTTTGTGGGCCTTGAGAAAGCGAGATAAGTTTCCAGGTGGTCAGCATTTCTTTTAATCATCTTTGTGGCAGCTTCTGGTGGTCGTTATCTCTTGGCAGGCATTTAGCTTCTCTGCATCTTAGGGAGTTTGCTGTTCTCCCCCTGCGCGCATGGTTCCTTGCCCACGCCAGACCTCAGGGACCATGGCAACAGCCATTAGCCCTGAGGGTCACTGCAGGGGGGGTGCAGCAGGTCCCCCTTTGATTTTAGAACGAAGTTGGTAAGCATACATGTCACACTGGATGTGGTAGATGGACCTGTGAAGTGAGCGGACACAGAAGGGAATAAACAAACAGAGAAGCAGGACAAGTAGGGAAAGAACAAGGAAGGAGAGAACAAGATGATATCAGTGAGTAGGAGTTAAAGATTGGAGAGTGGAAGCCAGAGAATGGGCAAAGGAAGAGACTGAAGTATTTAGGTGAGATTTACTGACAGCAGAGATTTTAGACTGAAGAGATGTAAGGTCATGAGAGAGGTCATTGTCATGCCAGATGCCCAATAGGTGATGTTTAGTAAGATTAGAGGGCTCTAAATGCCCTTTTTGTAATTGGTCAGAGACAATGTCATGTATAGCCTGGATTTTGTCAGATGTAAGGGACCATTGAGGTATCCAGACAGGATCATTGTTTTTCCAAGCAATTTTATCAGCAAATAAATTTTCCGCAATGGCCCCTAAGAAAAAGCCTGTTCATCAATTAAATCAGGAGTGGTGAGAGTTAACCCCTTAGATTCCATCACATCACGGCCCCATCAGCCACATATGGCTGAAAGAAACCAGAATGCTCATTCATTTTCCAGTGTAAAAGCTGAGAGCTTTGAGCTACATTGTCTGCCATGCCTAAACCAATTAAAGTAGATGAGGAATTAGTAATGGGTCATGAAGGGCATAGAATTCTTGTACTTTTTTTTCTACTTTTTTCTAGGTTTCTAGTGATAAACTGTCTTCTTCTGGAAACCATGGGCATACCCATATTATAAATTCATAAAGTTGCAACAAAGCTTTTTTATTTACTTTAATACCACGTGCTTCAATCATATTTTTCAGTATAGAAAGAAAAAGATCTCTGTTTTTGGTCTGTTGCTGACCCATGACCTCGTGGTGCTTTGTTCACTCACACAAGATCTTTATTTCAACTGTGCTGTCCGGCCCGTGTCCCTCGCGGGAACTTGGGGAGGCGTCTTAGCTAAGGTCTGTCCGTATAAACCCCGGACCAGGCTGCTCCAAGGAGCAGATGACCGTTATGCCTTATGACGTCCTCCACGGGAACCGCGGGTGCAGCCCACTCAGACTCCGTAGCCCTAAGGCCGTGGAGCCGTATTCATGCACTCTCACACACTCAGCACCACGAGAATATTTACACTTAGAAGAACTTCTCACTGTCTCAAACTGATTACCCTTTATCAGCGAGCTCCGGACGCCCCAGTGAGGATTCTATCCCTGACTGTCTAAAAAAGAAGGGTATTTTAGGAGAAATTCACTCACACACTCACACAAGAAGGAGATAGCTTACCCAACGCAACCTCTTCGTTACTTACCTCTCCTTTGGGTGAAAACAATGAAATGAAGGTCAGGCCCCACGTTGGGCGCCACCTGCCGCGGACCAGCACAGCGATGGACGATGAGGCCGTCTCAGGGTTGAGAGATTGCGCAGGGTGGTCAGGGATTCGATGAATAAATGACACACAGACACACTTCAAGAGAGTGAAAATCTGAGTGCGTCTTTATTAAGCTAGTGGTCAGTATATATATGTTTTTCTAAAAGCATAGGAACAGTGAACATCAAAGAGATCAGTTTGCTCATAGACTTAGCTTAATTGACAGGGCAGTGATTTATGTCCGAAGTTACATCTGGACCTAGCCTCATTCCTAATTGGACAGGCTATAAATTCTTTCTATTGTTTTATATAATTATTTTCTAGTTGCACTAACTATCATTTTTACTCATAATTAATTGTCATGGGTGAATTTATTTTATAATGCAGTTAATATCAAAGGTACTAAAGTTAAGCACATAATAGAAAGATTATTAAACTAACAATTCTATTATAACACAGTGTGTAGTAATGTTTCATTTGCATTAACCTAATTATTAAATTAGGTATGTTTTTTAATTAGCAATCAATGACCAGAAAAAGGAAAGATTTTAGAAAGACAGTTGTAGCAGAATAAAGTTTGTGGGCCTTGAGAAAGCGAGATAAGTTTCCAGGTGGTCAGCATTTCTTTTAATCATCTTTGTGGCAGCTTCTGGTGGTCGTTATCTCTTGGCAGGCATTTAGCTTCTCTGCATCTTAGGGAGTTTGCTGTTCTCCCCCTGCGCGCATGGTTCCTTGCCCACGCCAGACCTCAGGGACCATGGCAACAGCCATTAGCCCTGAGGGTCACTGCAGGGGGGGTGCAGCAGCTCCCCTCCCTCTTCTGCATCAATCCCTCCCCGCTCCCAGGTCAGCCACACTTTTAGCACCTCTGTGCCTGCATTTATAAAGAAGCTTGTCTCCCTTAGGTAAAAATAGCAATACTGTCCTCTGACCCTCTAGCTAATATTCTGTCTGCCTTATCTCATTTTCCATTTGCTCCTCAAACTTCTCACATCACCCCCCACTCCAGTGTAAGTAAGAAGTTTCAGCAAGCTCTTGTGTGGCTCCTGCACACTTTATAGCCATTTCCCTAGATTTGCATACAGCCCCATCCTCCTCAAAATTTTCCTCTCTCTGCTGCTCCCCTCAGCAGTGTATTTCAGTCAGTCTGTCTGTTCTGCTACCCACTCTGTCTCTGGTGAATTCTCTCACCCCCCACACCTCTGGCCTGCACCCTGCTCTCTTGTATGCATAAATAAATAAATCTTAAAAAAAAAAAAGTTCCTCTCACAGGGAGGAAATATTGACCTTTGCTGATTTTTCTCCTAATGTTCAGATTATTTTGTCTTGTTCTGCCCCCATCCTGAGTTCTTCAAGTTCTGTTTGACTCCTAAGTTTTGGGGGTTCCCCAGGGCTAGTCCTTAGCACTTTCTACTTTCATCTCCTGGGCTCACAACCTCTCCGCTATGCTGTATGGTTGTCCCCTCCCTAATTCCAGACTGATCACATCTTCCCAGACAGCTCTACCAGAGATGCTATCAAAGCACCCAGAATCTCATCTTGGGGGGGGGGGTCTATTTCTTTAGATCACCTTGGGAACCAACAACTGTGTCAGTGAGACCCCAAGATTTATTACAGTGGGTTTAATATAGGAAATTGGTGAAAAAGCATCGGAGAATTTTAGAAGCCAAAGGGGAGGGCTAGGGTAACCAGAGGAGGCAGCTGGAGCTTTTAAAGCAAGGGAAGCAGGAGGTGGGGGTTGGTTTGCAGAGCCAGGAGCTTAGGGAGGACTCTGCAGAGCTGAGATCTGATCAGGCGTGGAGAATACAGCCTGTCTGGCGCTGAAAACCTCAGGAGCTTGGAGTAGAAAGAAACCACAGAGCTGGGATTGGCGGGTGCTCTGTTTCTGCAGGGCTACTGCGGGCTGGTTCGAGGAGGAGGAGGAACATCCACTGCCCGCTGGAGCCCTCCGTGGGCAGGCCCGAGGGACACGTCCTCCCCCGCCTCCCATGAAGCATGCGCTCATATGGAGGTGTGAAATTGTAACCCTCAAATTGAATAGTTTGTAAATGATTGGCAAATCAATAAAACTTGAGAAAGAAAAAGAAAATGCTAATCTGATAAAATTGCACACTCACTGTCACAGGCACACTCACTGGTGGGCCTTCCTCATGACCTGACATGGTGCAAGGACCCAGGAGGAGCACTCCAAGTGTTCTGTCACCTTGCCTCTGTCTCCCTCTTTAGTCTCATCTTTGTCCTCCTGGCACCCCATAGTTCACCCATGTGGAATACAGGGGTATCACGCTGCCATCTAATTGTTCCTGAAATGCCTCCTTGCCATCCTATCCCATATCCTGGCTGTCTGGCAAACTCTTACACTTGTTCTTAAACCAGCTGCCATGGTCTTTCCTGAGCAACCCGCCCTGCTCTCCCAGGGCAAATTGCTCATCACTCTCTGGTGTCTCTACCTTGGTGCGTCTCTATCATATGACTTACCACACTGAATCACACATTTTTTTTTAAAGATTTATTTATTTATGCATACAAGAACCCGGGTACAGACCAGAGGTGTGGGGGAGTGAGACGATTCACCAGAGACAGAGTGGGGAGCAGAACAGGCAGACTGACTGAAACACACTGCTGAGGGGAGCAGCGGGTGAGACAGGAGAGGTCTGCTGCACTGTGTGGGTAGCTCCCTGGCTGTGCATCGAACTCCTCCTGCACTGGCTGTGGATAGCTTCGTACGTTGTGTCTTAACCCCTTGTACCACCAGGGAGGCCCTGTATCACACATTTTAATTTCAGTCTGTCTTCCAATATGAATTAGGATTTTGTTCAGCCGCAAGTGATAGGAGACCCCAAGTGATAGTGAAACAAGTGTAGGTGTTTACTCTGAGTCACATAGAAGTCGGCAGTCTAGCTTGGATGGACATTGACTGCTGAGACGTCTACCTGGTTGAGTCACTTTCCTCAACAGAGAGCTGTCACTATCCAAGATGTTTCTTTCAGCCCAGTCTCGTCTCTCAGGTTCAGTTCCAACCTGCTGGGAGGAGAAAAAGAGGGTGAAAGGCACACCTCCCTAGTCTTAGGCCACCTCCCAAACTACACACTTTATTTTCCCGTAGTTGCCATAACAAATGACCACAAGCTGGGTGGCTTAAAACAACAGAAATTTATTCTCTCACAGTTCTGGAGGCCAGAAGTTGAAAAGCAAAGTGTTTGTAGGGAAACACTCTCTCTAAAGGGCCTAAGGATGATCTGTTCTTTGCTGACACTCCTGGGTTTCATGGTTTATAGCTGTGTCTCCCCCATCTCTGCTTCCCTCTTCACATAGCCTTCTTCTTTTTTTTTAAAGATTTATTTATTTATTTATACAGCACTGGGTACAGTCAGAAGTGTGGGAGGGTGAGAGGATTCACCAGAGCCAGAGTGGGGAACAGAACAGGCAGACTGACAAAATACACTGCCGAGGGGAGCAGCGGGTGCCACAGGAGAGGTCTGTCATGCCAGGTGGAACCCTTGCTGGTGGCCGGGGATTGAACTGGCACTGCAGAGACTGCGGGCTGCTTTGCAGCCCAGCACTTAACCGCTGCGCCATGAGGGGAGGCCCCCACATAGCCTTCTTATAAGGATACCAGTCATTGGATTTAGGGCCCAACTTGCTCGGTGTTCACCTCATCTTAACTAATAATATTTGTGTAGATCCTATTTGTGCACAGCTCATCTACAGAGGTGAGCTATTCACCCCAGCACAGGAGTTTTACCTCTTCATTTTGCTAACATGAAACATAGTGTCTAACACATATAGGAACTTAACAAAAAGTTTCCAGAATTGAATCTAAGGGATTACTGGCTTCCAGTGTGTTTGGCTACAGTGCTCTTCAATTAACATTCACTGAGTTCCTTTCTCACAGGGCTGGTTAATCATTTTATGACATTTTCTCATGAAAAATTAGAACCAAATCAGTGTGGGATGACTTCCTGGTGATATTCATACTCATTTAAAATTCATTTTTTTTTCTCAAAATAAAACATGGACGTAGTTTAAAGTAAAGCAATACTTTAAAAATTTTAGAAGAAATTATGACAAAATGGAGCCTTCCCTGTCCCATTCCTCAGCCCTGTCTTCCAGATGCACCTGCTCTGAAATCTTCTGTGTCTTACGGTACTTAATGCCCATATTTCTAAGTAACTTGTGTACATTGTCAAAGGTCAGCATTCCTGCAGACCTGCCAGGGCCTCACCACTTCCCTCCTCCGGCAATAGCCCTTCAGTGGCCACTGACCTGCCAAGATTTTTCTCTCTTTGCCCAAGGACTTTCTTCAATGGCTGCCTAACCTGTTCACAGGGCAGGCAGAAGGCTGAGGAAGTCCTCTCAAAGCAGCCCCAACCTGATGGGACTTGGTGTATAAACTCACACTCCCTCACTCCTCAGATGGGCTGACTCTGAGCATGCGTCACACTTTCCCTAGAGTTTCTCCATACATTTAGGATCTAGTTGCCCCAAGTGGATGTCAGTGACAAAATGGAGGGGGTATTGGGGGTTGGAGAGTCATGCATTCTCTCCACTTTTCTATGGTATTTTATGTATTTTCAAGTGCACACACACATGCACACACACAATCTTCCATTTATTTTTTTTTAAATGTTATGTTAAAATATACACAACATAATACAACTGATCATATTTAAAGAGCACAATCAGTTTAAAGAGCACAATGCAGTAGCGTTGAGTGTATCCACACTGTTTTATAATCATCACTAGTACCCATCTCCAGAATTTTTCATCATCTCAATCTGAAACTCTGTACTCACTAAACAATAACTTCATTACCCCCACCCCCCAACTCCTGATACCCACTCTGAGAAAGTTTTTGCACTAACCCTTATATCAGCACCCCTTTCTAGGGAAATTCAAGCTAAGATGAACATTGACTGTTGATTTCATGTCATGGTAATTCATCATTTTTTCAACCAGTAAGTATCTACTATGTGGCAACTACCATTCTATAAGGTTTCTATTACATGAACTTAGGAAATGTTATAAGGAAAAACAAAGCATAGTAAGATGATAAGAGTGCTATAGATTGGGGGAACATTATTTTAGATACTTTTAGATAAGTAGAGACTTAAGTAAAATAAGGAATCTATCTAAGGGAACAGTGTTTTAGGAAGAGGGAACAGCCAGTGTAAAAGCCCAGACTTGGGATAGACTGGCTTGAGGATCTAGCTATCTTACTGCCCTACCCATACACATGGCTGTGCCCTTTCATGTTTTCAAGACAGTTAAATCACATGTTTTGGATAATTAACATTTGGTTGTTATATTATAAAGCTCATGAAAACATTGTTCACTGCTAAGCCATTAGTGTTCTACAATATATATTTGCTCTTACACATTCTGGTTTTTCTTAGATTTAGAAATTCTTTTCATTTCTTGTTTAGCATCAACCAGGAATTATTAGAGAAGCAAAACCACCAATTAAATTAAATTTTTTTAATCAGTTCTATTATTTTTCTAAAACTTTCCTTTTTTTTTTTTTTTTAAAGATTTATCTTCATTTATACAAGAACCGGGGTATAGGCCAGATGCGCGGGAGGGTGAGAGGATTCACCAGAGACAGAGCAGGGAACAGAACAGGCAGCAGACTGATGAAATACACTGCTGAGGGGAGCAGCAGGCCAGACAGGAGAGGTCTGCTTGCCATGCTAGTTGCTCCATGGTCGGCAGGGATTGAACCGGCACTGCAGAGCCTGCGGACAGCTTCAGAGCACTGCGCTCAGCCTCCTTCGCCACAAGGGAGGCCCTAAAACTTTCCTTTTTTCTGCATTCTTCTTTAGGCATGGCACTTGACTGTCTTGGGGATTTCTGGATCCAATCTTCCTTTTCCTTGGTTTGGTCCTTTCTGCCTCTTCCTCTTAGTTGTATGCATATGTGTGTGTGTGTGTGTATGTGTGTAACTCTGTGTGCATGTGTGTCTGTATGTGTGTGAAATGCATACATGCATGTACGCCTGCATGCACGCATGTGTGCAGTGTCAAAACTCATCTTTAATAGTGTGACATGACGTGATAAGCCAGGGACCAAGGCCAGTATAACAAAGAATTGAAACACCACACACACACAACAGCAGTAAACAAGCAGAAGGAAACAGGCTAGCTCTTGTCACCAGCAAGCAGATTTGAAGAGATTTATGCAAGGACAGATAGGAAGCAAAAACAGCTCCTGTGCACACAAGATGGGTCCTGAGTGGGTAGCCACATAGTTATGCTCCTGTTTTGGGTCTAGGGGATGAGCTGTGGTGACTATGTAGTTTCTTGGTAGGTCAACGTTGGCCGATGTTCTAGCATAAATTGATTGGTGATAGTGTCATGGGCTTTTTTCATTTTATTGACTTTTCTCTCCTGTTGTGTCTCCTGGGGTCCATATCTCCCAGGACCCAGCCTCTATCCTTTCTGTTATATCTCTAGGGCCTCAGTCCCTGTCTGCCTGCCAAGAGTTAGCCCCTCAGTAACTCCTTGGAAAAAGTACATGGGAGACAGGACATTGTGTCTCCCATGTCTAAAAATTCCTGGGTCTACTCTCAAACTTAGCTGATGGTTAGGTGAGATATTTAAATATAGAATGAAAATCATTTTTTCAATTCAAAAGTTTGAAGTCATTGCCCCTTGGTCTTGGGGTGTTATTCTTGAGAAATCTAATGCCATTCAGAACTACAGTTCATTATATGCAATCTTTCTCCTTTCTTTACCTTTCTATTTCTCCTTTTTCTCCGCCTCCTCCTTTTTCTGTCTATCTTTTAATTATCATTTTTACCTCAATGTTGTGAAATTTTATGATTAGGGTTTCTTGCTGTGGGCCTTTTTTCGCTCATTGTATTGGTTATTAAATAGACCCTGTTAATCCACCCTGATTTGAATTTTCCTTTTTAATTTCTTTTATGTCTTTATTAATAGCTTCCTACTTCTTTTTTTCCTGTTCTTTTTCTGCAACTTCGATTAATTTCTATTGGACTGCCTGAGTTGCTCACTGAATTTTCCTATTTGCCTATCTAGAACTCTTTCAGTTTTTTTCTCTCTTTTTCTTTTCTCTTTTCTTTTTCCTATTCCTCCTCCTTTTCATTCTTTTTTAAAAGTTCTTTCTGGGATATTTCCATGATCTTTGTGACTTCCAACTGAGTTTTGAAAATTTTGATGTTTAAAATTTTATTTTATATTTTGCTTATTTAAAGAGATTTAAAATTATCTAATTTCTCCCCTTTGATACTAGAACATTCTGTTCTTCATGGTTGTAGTATATTCTTATATCTCTCTAAAGATACTGATAAGGCTCCTTGTCAGGAGTGCAGTGGGGGAATTGCAGTTCCCAGGAAGTTAGTGCTGGGCCTGGGCAGCCCCCAGTAAAAAAATAATAAAGTTACTGATTGTCTTTGGAACTTTTCTTTTGTTTTCCATTCTGTCTCTTTGGTATTTTAAAAAATTCATTTCTTTGTTTTGATCTTCACATTGAATGTTTTCCTTAAAAATCTGTTGATACTTTCCTGTCTGTTCACAGTTTAGATTGAAGAACTTGAGAGTTGATGTAAAGCTCTCAGATTATAGCAGAACATCAACTCACAGGTTTCATTGTTGGGGGTGGGTCTGCAAGTGGGCTTTTTCATGGGAAGACTCTCAAATGTATCTGTACCCTTATTCTGTTTATTGAGGGAATGTTTTCCTATCTTCTGCCCGGAATATATAACTGGCTACTGGTATTTGGAGACTGGATCCAGAAGGAAATGGTGAGGAGTCAAGGGATGAAGCTTTTTTTGTTCTGTAGACATACATCATTTAGTTCCTTTCTTGGGTCTTATAGCTCACCATGCCTGCCAGTGGGCCACGAATGCTCTTTTCTGAAGTCCACCTTATAGGGACATGGAAGGGTGTTATGGACAAAAATCCCCAATCCTCTTCAGGCCCCAAATTCATATGCTGGAACCCTTAAGCTGTGATGTGATGGTTTTTGGAGGTGGGAGTTTGGGGAAGCATTTAGGATTAGATGAAGTCATGTGGGTGGAGCCATGTGGGTGGAGGATTAGTGCCTTAAGAAAACCAGAGAGCTTTCTTCCTTCCTTCCACATAAAGATAAAGCAAGAAAGCAGTCATTTGCAAGAGAGCTCTCACCAGAAAGCCAATTGGCCAGCACCTTCATCTTTAGCCTCCTCTGTAAAAAGTAAGTATTTCTTGCTTTAACCACCCAGTAGATGGCATTTTGTAATGGCAGCCTGAGCCAACTGAGAAAAGGAATCATTCCTTGCTTGTGCAGACTCTGGAGAGGGGATTTGGGAGCCTGATTGTTGGGTACAGAAGCTTTCAGAACTCTGTTCTTTCCCCACCTTCCCCAGAACTCAGTGCCCTCATGCTGATATTACCTGGTCCTTCAGCAAAACTGATAAGCCACCCAGCTTTGTCCTGGTTGCGGTGTACTGCTCTTCCACTCCTGTCTGATTTCCAGAATATTGCAGAATTTCTCTTCTGCTGTAGTTTTTCTCCTCCTCTCAGTTTCTTTGTGGGTTTACTCCTTTGTAATTCCTTCATTATTATAATACAGCTGTTTCATGATGGATCAGATATAGCTGCTCATTTCACGTATTTGTGTGGAGTTTCCTCTTTCACTGGGCTGGTTTGCGCAAGCCGTTGGTGCTCCCTGTGGTTGGCAGGGATGCTAGCTCCAGCAGGAGAGAGGCGATGTTTGAATACAAGCCTTAGAGTACTGCATTTGAAGGTCTGCGCTACCAAGCAAGTTCTAGCTGTGTGTGCCTGGACACATCCTCGCTGTGTCTGATCATGTGGGGATGGGGGTTATGGTAGTACTTACATCAGAGCTAAGTAAGATAATGCTTGCAAAATGCTTTGTTGTTTTGAGCTCAGAGTCAGAGCTCAATAAATTGGAGCAATTGTTAAATTAATATAATTAATGTATAAATGTATTTCTCAGAGATAAAACACCTCTGCAAGTATTATCATCATTACAGCTAAGATTATACCTGATAAGAAAAAGACCTAATTATTGCACAGAAAATACCTAATAATTTCAACCTAGCAAGTTATTTATTAAATTATTTATTTATAATGATCTAATCATATCACTTTATTCTTTGCTATTTATTTGTCTAACTGGTTAGTTAATTATTATGCAGCTACTACATACTCAGCACCATATACCTAAGCCCGATGGGGGCTTACCCCGGAACCCAGGAAGGTGCAGATTTTGTCCCTAGGGAGCTTACAGTTTAGCCAGGGGAACATTAAGGAGCAGTTAAATATTGAGTCATGAACTATTGACTTAATGCCACAGAATCAAGTAGGGTGTTGGGTTAGATTAGGGAAAAGGTGGCTTCGCAGAAGATGCAGCACTGTCTGGGCTTGGAGGAAGAGGCAGGTCCATATATGCACAAGAGAAGGAAGGGCCCTCCAGGTGACAGAGTGGCTATGGCCCCCAGGGAGGGAGGAGAATCTGTGCGTGCAGATAACCAAGTGAAGAGGGCAGGGAAGAGAAAGGGGGGAGGTGAGGTTGGGTATTTGAGGTGAAATCAGATGGTGGCTGGCTTAGAAAGGGAGGCCAACAAGCTGGTGGTGCACGTGGCTGACACTGAGCTCCTGCATGGGAGGACGCCAGGGTGAATTTGGTGCAGCAGCCCCTGGTGCTTTATTTCAGTCTCCATCTCACCCTCAGGAGAATGAGAACTCAGAGGGAGAAATCTCCAACCTTGCCTAAGAAGCTGAGCGAGGGGATGGATGAAAAATTAATGTGGGTCATAAATATTCTAAGAGCCAGTGCACCAGATATACTTAAGGATAAAGTTCACTGCTGCAGAGGGAAGCTGCTCCAGCGGGAGAAGGGGCGGTGGGGGGATCTGATTGCCATTGGTGGCTGCTAGTGCCATTCCCAGGGTTGGGGGCTCTGGGATCCTTGGAAAGGCTGTCCTCAGTGACCGCCTATTGTAACAGGATTGTCAGTGTCCACTTGGTGAGGGTGGGTGCTGAAAGTCAGTGTTCTAGTTTCCTCTTTGACCCACTAGCACCTCAGAGAAGTGGTGTGAAGATCTTTCACCACAGATGGACAGTGATGAGTTTTTATATCTAATTACCTACCAAGTGACTTCCTTTTAAGAAGGGACACAGACAAGCAAAGGCTAGAGCTAGAGGCTTAACTTTAGTTCACAAGGAACCCTCTCTTTTCACCTCAAGTAGTTCTCCTTGGTGGGTCTCTGGAGTTCATTTCAGGACTATTGGAGTTTTAACTCGGCCTTCTGGAGGTAGGGTGTGAATGAGAGGGGAGGAGGTCAAAGCAGCCAGGCAGGAGAGGGCATGTGCAAGGCTTTGCCCAGTGCTGTGCTGATAAAGGTTTAACAACCAGCTCTTGAGGGTGGTGGGGGTGTCACCTTGATTGGTAACATCTGCTGAGCTGTGTATCCTCACTGTGACCCATCTTGTGCCGCCAGCAGCATGTCATGTAACAAGCACAGTTCCAGAACATTTAGCAATTGACCCTCATAAGCTGGTTGGCACCTTCTCATGCACATCATTGGTTCTGCATCTCTGGAAGTTCAGAAACCCAAAAGGTCATCATGCCTTTTACCATCAGCCACATCAGAACTGGGTATCTTAACTCACTGTGCCTGAGGTGACTGGGATTCTACATTTTTCTCGAAATCTAGAGTAGGTCAGCCTAGGTCAAAATTAAAAGTTAGAAACTGGAAAATCACTTGTGTTTTGGGAGTTGCTTTGGGCTCTGCCACTGGCCCCACACAGTCAGATGGGAGAGAGAAGGGGTGCATGTGGGGAAGCACAAAGATTACCTTGGAAATGGAGGGGTTGATCTGCTGGCAACTGATCCAGCTCCCCTGCTCACCAGGGAGGTAGAGAACTCCTCTCACCAAGCTTTCTGATATCACCCCTGTGAGCCCTCAGAGGCCTGCTGTTGCGATGGCTGAGCTACATAAAGCGAGCTCCATTAATGGCCAAGCCCTGTGTTTGCTGAGGCACAGGGTCATCTCAGTTTCCCCAACATCCTTGGGAGATGAGTGTAATCTTTTTTTTAAAGATTTATTTATTTATTTATACAAGCACTGGGTACAGTCAGAAGTGCAGGAGGGTGAGAGGATTCACCAGAGCCAGAGTGGGGAACAGAACAGGCAGACTGACGAAGAAGTACACTGCTGAGGGGAGCAGCGGGTGCGGCAGGAGAGGTCTGTACCCCATGTGGGACCCTCGCCAGTGGCCAGGGATCGAATTGGCGCTGCAGAGGCTGCGGGCAGCTTCGCAGCCCAGCGCTCAACCGCTGCGCCACCAGGGGAGGTCCGTGAGTGTGATCTTTATCCCCACTTTACATACAAGGAACCTGAGATCTGGGTTAAATAACATGCCCCAGAAGACACAGCTGCTGAGGAACAGAGTTGAGCTGGAGTTTGAAGATGTCCTGTTTGGCTCTAGAACTTGCCTCCTCACCCACAAAATGCATTACAGGTGGAGGATCCAGTCCCCTTCTGAAGCTCCAGACCTTCAGGAGGTCTGGACATGGCCTATACATACACTTCTCATTTCTGGTCATTTGCTGCAGGGGCTCACAGGACCTCCCAGAACTGGTCCTGGAGCCAGATCAACCAGTTCGTGGGTGCTAGCCCCAGCCCCAGTGCAGTCGGCAAGGAACGTGGAAGCTCAGGTGGGGCAGACACTGAGGATGGAGAAGTCAGCAAATGGGGCCATGTGTCACGGGTACAGAGTAAATCCTGCCAAAATGAAGGGACACCACCTCTGAGAAAGTACTTCCTTTGTGGAACAGTTTATCTTTTTTTTTTTTTAATAGAGGCATGTTTTATTTATTTATTTGTTTGTTTGTGTTTGTTTTTGTTTATACATGCACTGGGTACAGTCAGAAGCGCGGGAGGGTGAGAGAATTCACCAGAGCCAGAGTGGGGAGCAGAGCAGGCGGAAGGACCGAAGTACACTGCTGAGGGGAGCAGCGGGCGGCAGGAGAGGTCTGCGCGCCATGTGGGACCCTCCTCCGGTGGCCGGGGAGCAGCCGGGGATCGAACCGGCACCGCAGAGGCCGCGGGCAGCTTCGCAACCCAGCGCTCAACCGCTGTGCCACCGGGGAGGCCCGAGGAACAGTTTATCTTTGACCCTCAAGTAAGGACTTCGGATCCTGGGCTCTGACCACAGGACTAGGTGCTCTATAGTGCTGTCAAGCAGACTCAGTGCAGCAGTAACTAATGCAAGATGAGTCCAGCCTAATGAGCTGTAAGACGCCATCCCCAGACCTGCTGCAAAAGGTGAGGATTTTAATGAGTCCAAGAGGATTAGGGACCTAATCAGAACAGAGTGAAGTATGTCAGGGTGCTCCCCCGCCTCAATTCATGGACGATGCAATTTCAAGCAGTCAGTACTTATTATGTAGCCAGATCCTCTATACCCTGGAAAAGGCGACTTCATCAAAATTTCCTTGCTTGATTGGCACGTCCTTTAAGAGCTCCTTCTCCGTGTGCTCTGTGATTATGAGGTGCAATTTGCTGCTTTCTTGTCTTTCTAGCATTCTGTCCTCCCCCACATCAAACATTCCTCACTTTCCATTCTCGGTGTTTTTGCTTACTCTGGAATGACATCTTCAACCTGTTGGGTGTAAACCTTCACACTTCCTTCCTTCAAGAGGTAGTTGGAAGGAAGCCTCCTTTTTTGCTTCAGGTTTCTTCCCAACTCACTCCACCCCTGCTGGATGGACCCTTCCTTTCCCTGCACCCCCTAGAAGATTGTCTGCATATTTCCTATAACATGTCTCCTCTGTATCACATTTATATGCAAGGAAGTTTCTCGAGGGCAGGAGCTATGTGAAACTTATTGTTGGACCCATCACAGAATCTGACTTGGTGCCTGGCACATAATAAGCCCTCAGAAGATACTTGTTGAATAGGATTTTATATTTTATTTTCAGGGCCAATTTACACACCCAAAATTAAACCCGGGCAATGACCTAGATGGGTTGTCTGTAGGGCATGTCAGAGTCTAGCCATGCAGGGGATCCCAGACACCTAAAGGTGGAGTTGTGTCGAATTCAAGTTTCTTTTCTTGGTCTGTCTTGTAAAAATTGCCTCTGTTGGCTTTGATTTCCACTTTGCTGAGAAGCAGGAAATGTGAGGACCAAGCAGCCAAACTGCAAAGGGGAATTTGAATGTCCACCATGCAAATGCAACATGTCCAGCTGCAAGAGGAGAATCAACTCTTCATGATAATGCCTGAGGCCCAAAGAGTGATGGGAGAACTCAAGGAGAGAGAAGGGAGAGAGAGAGAGAGAAATTACCAGGTAATTTAGCTGTTGTTAGCTCTGGGACCCCAGCTAACAAGAAACAAGAAACAGTTAGTTTTTTGCAAACTGATTCCCTGATGCCTGCAGCAATTGAAGAGGAGAGACTTGCCTGTTTCTTCCTATACTTGCCTTTGGATTTGAGCCTCTAGGTTTAAATGTGGCTTTGGGATGATGAAGTAAGTTGGAGGAGCTCCAGCCAGCCTCCCTCAGCCCACCCAGAAGAATACTTTCAGCCTTAGAAACCCAGGTTACCATCATGCCTTTTGCCTTTCGCCAAGGGAACTGGGGGTCTTGCCTCCCTGTGACAACATGGCTTGAACACGTCTTGAATACACTGAAGTATTTGGTACCCGTTTTCCATCGCTGCATAGCAAACTGTCATAAGGGCTCTCAGTTTCTGTGGGTCAGATTCTGGTAGAGCTTAGCACAGCTCTGATCAGGGTTTACAGGCTGCAGTCTGGTGTCAGCTGGAATTGAGATTGTCTTTGGGGTTCAAGGTCCTCTTCCAAACTCATAGTTTCTTGCCATTATAAGAATGTGGTCCCTATTTTCTTGCTGGATATTATCTGGGGGTCACTCTCCGCTCCTGGATATGCCTCTTGGGGCCTTGTCATGAGACCTCTCCACAAAGCCTCATGGCAGATTGATTTTTCAGGCTTCACCAATTTGGAAGGGAGCAGTGAGTAGCGACCCTGGCTGCTTGGCTCGTTGGTGACATTCACAACCACACAAAGGGTGCACAGAAAAATCTAAGCCTGCTTTCCTAGAGCAGTGACCCACCTATGAATGTGCCTTGACAGCTTTCCTCTTTTGCTGATTTCAATCTCCACCCATCTCTCCCCATCACACTCCCTGGGGCCAGCCCCTAAATTTACTGCTTGCACCCAAATTATTATCTCAGGATCTGCTATTGGGGGAATCCATTCTTTGTGTCCACTTTGCTCTTCTTGAAGCAGCCCTGCTAAACCTTTTTCATTCTCTTCAGGTTTTAGTCACTTGACCTCAACCCAACCCTCCTGGGGAAATGACCCAGCCTGTCTGACTGAGCTGGAAGATGGAGGCTGCTGCTGCTTCCCTCCACGTGTCCTCCCCACTGCTCCCGTCTCCTTTCTAGTGTCCAGAGAAAGAAGTTTCCTCCCGTTGACAGTCATACTTTTTTCTTCTTGTCTCACTTCCTCCCAGGCCACTGGCTCTTCTTTCCACCCACATACAGGCTCAAGTCTCCACTGAAGTAATTCTTTCTCTCGCCCACCTAATGCATCCAACTTGAGCCACCTTCCTCAAAATGCAGTCTGCGCTCCCAGCTTCAACTTTTGCAGTGGCCACAAAGCCACCTGGGTCTTTCCCTCTTTCTCTCTATCCTGCCCGTGTGGCCTCCTCTGACACCAACAGCCTCCTGTTTGCAGTCTCCACGGCCTTTCTGGGTTGGGTTCTCGTTATCTGTTGTCACTGTAGGAACAGAAGCTCCTACTCCTTATTAAAACTCTCTTCTCTTCTGGTCTTCATGAAAGTGATCTTTTCTAGTTTTTCCTTTTCTGACAACTATTTTGACTTTCTTGTCCTTTCCACCCTTACATGAACATCCCCGGCCTCTGCCCCGCTTCCTCTCTCTGGGCTTGCCTTTGGCAGTCCTGCAATGCCAATAACCTGCTGGGCTCCCTGCTGCTGCTGCTCACGCTTCTCACGGCCTCTGCCATTTCACACTCCCCTCCTGGCTTCAACACCCATTCCATCCTGCGTCAGGGATGATTCATTTGGCACTAGTCCATCCTTCGAGAAATGTGGCATCAAGGCAAGCATGCTATCAATGAGTTTCTTCATTTTAAATGAGCCTCCACTTTGTGTGACCAGGTCTCACCCAGCCCCCCCAGGCCCAATGACAACAGGAGCTAAGGTTGCTCAGCTCACTTGCCAGCATGCTGAGGGCTTCTTGGGGACTATATATAGTCTTTCCTTTATCTTCACGATGGTCATGTGAGGTAAGAACTTTGCCCCTACATTTTTCAAATGAGTAAACTGAGGTCTGGACAGTTTAAGTAGTTGACCTGAGTAGACTTCCATCCCCCATCACCTTACCTTTTGCTGTCTACACCACCTTCTTCCTGTTTTATCACCCATCCCATTCCGAAACTCTGCACCATGTCGTCACTGCCTGGCACGTGACTGTGCCACAGACTCCCAGAGTCCAAAATAGACTTCTAGTCACCTCAGTCCAAGGGCTCTCTCCAAACTGCAGCCAGAGTCCCTTGCAGCTGCCCCCCCTTGACTCTTCCCTAACTCTGTGATAAGGCTCAGTTTCTTTTCCCGCGATCCTGGTGCTGTCCTCTTCCCTCATCATGCTTCCCTCTCCACAGGGCCCACACGGATGCCTCGCTCCCCGCTCTCCCATGAACAGAGTCATGCGCTCTGTGTCTCTAGACCATGTACATGCTCTTTTTTCCTTCTGAGAATACACAGGGCTCCCTTCCCTGCCCTGAAATGTCTATTGATCCCTTCAAGTCCAGCTTCAATGCCCCTCCATGAACAGTCTTCTTTTGTGAGCCTCTAATCCGCTGTGCTTTCATCTTGTGTGTGCGGATGCTGTTCACACCTCACAGTGCGCTCCTGGAGACTGGGGGCTCTGCAGGCCCCAATTTTGAATCTCTAGGACTGACACTGTGCCTCATTACTGTGAGATGAATGATTATAGAAAGCTAATTTGAAGCTTGTTCCAACATAGTTTTTTATTTGCTCTTGTCAATGAGACTGTGAAGAGCAGAGTCTAAGTGATGGAGAGAAAGGGTAAGTAAGCGAGGAAACAGGAAGACTAGTTGTGTTCTGCCAGGGAAAACTGGGAAGATGACATCATTCCCTGTTATAGTTTGCTCAGGCTGCCATTAGGAAGCACCGGACTGGTGCCTTAAACACTAGATAAGCACTTTTCACCATTTTGGAATTTAGGTGTCCTTGATCTCCGTGTTGTTCTGAGGCCTCGCTCCTTGGCTTGTAGATGGCCGCCCTGCCTGTTTTCCTCACGTGGTCTTCTCTGTGTGCCCTCGTCTCCTCTCTTACAAGCATGCCATTCTTATTGGATCAGGACAGACCTTAATTATCTCATTTTAACATGAACCTCTTTAAAAACATGTATTCATATACAGTCATATTCTGAGGTATTAGGGATTAGGAATTCCACTAAGAATTTGGCGGTGGCATGGGGAACACAGTTAGCACAGTAAGCGCTTCCATCTGGTAGGTAGGCAGGTGATGAAGTTCGCCCTTTGAGTTTTACCATATATTTCCGGTAGGGGGCGTAGCCCTCACCATCTCCACCCCTCTGCCTTTCTAAAGTACCTAGAAGGGCGTATGGCCTTGGGCATCCCCATTCCTCCAGCCTCCTCATAAGTTCAGTGTCTGCCCAGCAGGCCCACGGGTGTCTCAGACTCCAGCTGTCTTGCTTTGAACCGGCGGAGATGCAAGGGGGCCTCTTTGTCCTCTTGCGAGATGCCTCCCTCTCCAAATGTCTTCATAAAGGTGAATCCTCCAAGGTGCTCCTCATCCTGTCTCCCTGCTCACAGCCTCCTGACCGAGCTACCTCTGACTGGCATGCTCCTCCCTCTTTGTTCTGGATTAAGTCTCCTCTTGTTCTCTAATCATTCAGCTGTGAGGCCTTGTCACTCCATGCACACTGCCAGGCTTTGAAAGCAGCAACTGGGAGTCACACCTTTATTCCTCGCAGCCCTGACTCAGCTGGCTCCATGTTAGGCACTCAGTAAATACTAGCTGAGATGAAGCAGAGCATAGAAATGCTTCGTCCCATATACTCACCATACAGAATGAAAAAGCAGCTAAGATCTGAGCCCAAACCCTCTGTCTATAATTTTCTCTAGCTTTTCTCTGATTTCCTCCCCCTACCTCCCCTTCAAAAGGCTGAAGTGTGGAGGGAGTGTGAGGGGTCTCCAGGCACATTCCAGGAGGCAGCTCACCCCCTGAGCCCTGGCCCAGCTCCCCCACACTCCCCTTGAACCCTGTCTTCTCTGCATGTCCACCTCATCACACCTTCACAAGGGCCTACACCCTTCCTCTCTCCCTGTCCTGCCTTTCCCAACTCAGGCAAGGGCTGGGACAGAGCCCTGGTAAGTTTTGCTTCTCTGCCCTCAGCCCCACCAGGGGGCAGCAGGACTCGCTTTTCCCAAGTCCTCATGCCTCAGGTCCATATTCAGGTCTACAATGACTTTTCCCAAAATAGGTCTCTG